CCATAGTGCTCCACATGGTACTGTAGCACATTGCTACATCACCACAGGGTGATGTGTAGACACACCCTGTGTGTTTTATAGCAAGGTCATGTATCTAGAATGAAAAGGCCAAATTTACAAGGTGGGGGAATATATCCAGGAAAGCAGTGATTGTAGAAAGGACTGGGGATCCTGCTGGAAATGTGCCAAGCATGAGCTCCCAGTGTGATGCCATTGGTCTGATTGCTAATGCAATTCTTGGATGTATGAAAGGGGAAACATCATATAGGAGTAAGGGGAAGCTAATATGTGCCATGTAAGCAGTGGGGCTGTGCGAAGCTTCAGTCACTGATTCGATTTGGCAGAAATTTGGCCCAATTCGGTGGCTGAATCTCTGAATCTGAATCAAATCAGGAGACCCTTTAATCTTTCTGAATCAAATTGGAACCCTCCAAATCGATTCGGAAAGATTCGGAGATTCGAACATAGACACAGCTTTAAATGTTTTTTCTATATACCTCAAGGTAGCAGGCGGCTCATCAATGCAGTGACTGATGAGTGGCTGTTCGCTCGTATTTTACCTGGCAGGGATAGCTCCCCCTGAAGAGAGAGAGAGAGAGAGGGTGTGTGTGTATATATGTGTGAATGTGTGGTGGGTGGTGGTAGGGATATGTATATGTACACACACACACACACACACTCTAAAATATAATCCCAAACTACCATAAAAACCCTTTTAAGCTAACTTTCCTGACCCCGCTATTTAACTTAATGGACTGTTTCACAAAAAGTCCTACTTTTGCATCCACTCAATTTCAACGGTCTTCTTTTTATCTAGTTCTAATATCTAAAGGCATCTGTTTAGAGTCATGGGCACTTGTGTAAACATTAAAATGGAATATAACGTGAAACTATAGCATGCGGGTACTGCAGCATGAATCTTACCTGGGTCTGATTCCATAACATTATGCATACAAAAAACAAACAAACAACCCCCCCCTTCCAAAAAATATATATATCTGTACAATGAAAGTTGGAAAGTTATCCACTCACTTAATTCTGGCATATTGCATAATAAGGCTGTCCACACGGTATGAATTTGCCTCCTTATATGCATGTTCATGATGATATAGCCTTTCATTTCTGGTATATGCTCTTTTCCCCAGATGACTCCAGCTTCATACAGTGCACAAGAGGGTGTTCTGGGGTTGTTGCTGGGGAGGTGGGGGGCTGTGGGTTGGGACTGATGGGCACTGGCAGGGCCGGGAGCTGCAAGTCAGGAGTGTTAGGCACTGGCAAGACCAGGGGACTGCAAGTGAGGAGTGAGGGGCACCAGCATTTTGCACTGTGCCAACTGCACAATGATGAATATCACTTGGGAGTAATGGAGGGTCACATGCTGACATTGCTGTTAATGTTTTCCTGTTGTTGTTGATTTCTGTCTTGAAAATTAAGACTGTTGAACTGCTTTAACTTGTAGTATGCAATAAGTATTTTGGGACTAAAATACTTGTGTGTTTTCTACTTAAACTATTTACTGGGTCGGGACTGGACATCGATGTTTAAAAATGGGTCCTGGTGCCAAAAAGGTTGAGAACCACTGGTCTAATGCACAGCTTAGCTGCCCACGCCAGGTGCTGGTCTTGGTTGAGGAGATCTTGCACACAAAGACAAATGCCTCCAAATGAAATCAGAGAGTGCTGTAGAAAATACACTGAGTGTGTCCTCAAATCAAGCAGCATGCTATTTATCTCCTCCCACACACACCCTTTCCATGTTCCACAATGGCACGTACAATAACTCTATTCTGCTGATTACACTCAAAATCTGGCACTCCAACACTTCTTTCAGATGCACGAGGGCTCACATAGAGTCAGCAATATTCATGACATTCTCTCCATTCAAGCATTAGTCAATTTGCTTTAGTCTTGGCAGGATCTTAGGTACTCTATATACTGCCTGAAATGTGCGTTCCCTTGATCTGCTGTTATGCATGACGTTCCCTTTGGGATAAACCTCTTTAACATTAGAATATGTGAACAGCATAATTGATCTCGGTTTTGCACCTGAGGTTGCTCCTCTATTTTTAAAGATGCTGTCAGATCAAATGTGGCTCAGATTGTGCAGCCTCACTTAATTAATAAGCACAGTTTCTGTGTTTAATATTTTCCGTGACTTGGTTTGATTTTTGCTCAAATTTGGGTCAAAATGTTAAGTTTAGTAAAATCCAGCGTTACACATTCTGTGACCTATGAAAGTCTTCCCAAGCGTAATATTTGTGACGACAATGTTAAAGGGTTTTCTTTGGGGTGTCTACACACCACCGTACAGTGACGTTAGTACTGCTCCGTGTTTTAGTACTTGCTTGGGGGAAGTACTAAAACACGGCGCAATAGTCGACTGTTGGGTGGCGCACAGTCAGATTCACTGGCTACGTTGCCTTAGCGGAGCGCTATAACCAGGCAGCGTGGCTGGTGATCACGTGTAGACCCATGTGATGTCACCATAGTGCACCGTACGGCAATGTAGTGCATTGCTGTGTCACCATAGGGCAATGCACAGACGCACCCTTTAGTGCACAATTCTTCCTCTGTAGTCTTTGCAGCTCAGGCATTGTGGCACCGTGTAGCATTGCATCAGCACGTAAAAATCTGAACATGAACTTGGCTAGAAAGGGACTAGTCTGCTTTTCATTGTTCAAGCTGAAAGAAACACTCCTACTGCTGTCAGATTGCTATAGTGCTTTAAACACCCCCCCCCCCCAAAAAAAAAACAAACAACCAAAACCACAAAAAACAATGGATTTCTGATGTACGATGTAGGCTAATTTATCTGCATTCAGCTACAGGTAAAAAGCATGCAACTCATTTCTGCTATTTCTTCAACCCATTTCCCAATCTTGCTAACTTCATCAGCCTTGTTGAGATCCACAAACAGACTATATCCTTTTGGCTAAAACCTGCCTCCTGACATGAGAGCAGGGTTTTGACCATACGTACCAAAAGCTGTATTTACCACCAAGGAATACTGAGGCTTTATACTAAAAAACTCCAGGAGTCGCATCAAAAGAGTTTATGTCCCTATGTTTAATAGTACTGCAAGACCTACATTTGTATAATAGCAAAGACGCACAAAAATGAGCATGGCAAGCAGAAGAATGAGGGACGGAGTAAATCATAAAACTATTTTACTACTAATTTCAGTGAGGTGCCTGGCTGTGCCATGGTGATAAATCACAGCAAACCACGAAGACTGCCCCGATCTTGCAAAAAAAAAAAAAAAAAAAAATGCCTTGCAATCGCTTTCTACAGCCTTGGATCCAAAGAATGATGAAGAGTAAATTGAACTGCATTTACTCATTTGAGGGAATGGACTGTTTCTCTTGTTTCTTTCTAAGTCACCACATAGATTAAAACACAAGTGCCTGTGAACCCTGCACGTTCTAGGTGTCTTCCAAAAATACTAGGTGTTAGGATCAATTACATGGAGCAAATAGATATCTGTTTAATAGGACCGCGGGTATTATCCACTGGTGAATTCATTGGAACTAACTCTTTTCACTTTGCTCAGGCATGCTGAGATCTCTGAGGGTTGCCAAGAAAAGATGGCAAGCAGCACCATGTAAAAACAAAACAAAAGTGCACCCTTATGCATGGTATATAGCTGGTTAACCCGTGGATTACGACCCACAAGTAGGTCTCAGGAATACATGAAAGGGTCATGGACAATCACATAGCATAACTAAGCTCCCTTGAAAAATGGCAGTTCACTGAGCCCAAAATGCTTCATTCAAAACACCGCAGGCAACAAACCTCTGTCTAGAGTCCTGGTCAACCTGGCCCAGGGCTGGCAATGCTTGCAGCGGGTGTACCTGGCCCTTGAGCAGACGCACCAAGGCTGGGACTCGGAGTTGATTAGTGAAGCCGACACTCTTGCTGCTCTTATCAGTGAAACTGGAAATGGCATCAAATTCACCCAAGAGCTGCAGGATCCAGGTAGCTTCCAGTTTCCTAGAAATGTCAGTTTTAATCTGATTTGGACTGAACTAAAATGTCAAGGGGGTGGGAGAAAGGACATTTACAGTGCACCAGAAACACTTCTTTTTGGTCATGTCTCCCAGACATGCTTTTGGACGGTTCCCATCCCACGTACTCCCTTTCCATCAATTTTAGTTGATGAATGACAGGAAGTCTTTTGTGTGGCATCTCTTGATGTTTAACATTTCTAAGCAGGGTTGTGTAGCTACAGGCATACACCTATGGCCTTACCACTGTACGGGGTGCAGTGCTTGCTATGGATGTATGCCATGAGCTATGAAGAATGTACAGGATCCTGTTCCCAAAGAGCAAGAGTTTCTCCAAATCATAGCAACCCATTTCCAACCCATAAAAGGACCATGGCAAGTAAAAGCTGATAAGTGCTTTACAGCTGCAACCCGCAGATGAGGTTGGAGATTAAATGCATACGATCAACTCAGTTTAATTACGTGATTTGCCCAGTCTAAAGCTGGGACAGCTGACTTCAATACTCTGCATATCAGAAGCATGATCTTTCTTTGTCTAATATTGAGAGATCCAGTTTTCAACCCCTCACTGTACCTTGAGATTTGGTTAAGGACCCACTTCTTCTTGTACTTTAATTGAATCTATTAAAAGCCAAAGGGAAAGTCAGGTTTCATTGGAAAGTTCGCAATCTCTCTGTTCCATTGGGGAATGCTTTGTATTAAAACCTCAGCTGCAAATGAAGGGCATCTGCATTTCAGTCTTAAAAGCAGCAGCAACAGTCTTTATCCTGGCACGGCTGGAGCAAACCCGAGCAACCAACCATAATTCAAGAATCAGGCATCAAATCGTATGTATACCACTGGAGATATCACTCTCAGGTTAAAAATAAGCCAGCTGGAGCAGCAGGATCATTCTAGGAGGATACATAAATCTGCAAAACGCTCTCTTTTCTCATTCTGCCATGCATAAAACATTGCACCAGAGGAAAATGCCATGGTAACAGCCGGGGAAGCCTACCTGTAACGAGAAAGCTGCATCGCCCTGCTCCAGCTTCATTTATGATGTTGCAATTGTAAATCCCATAGCTGTCCCTGGACAGACTGCTTACGGTGTATTCGGTAGAGTCTTGAGCATCAAACTGACCAGTCCGCAGCAATTTATTGCCCAGTCGCCACTCAAATGTCAGCACCCGAGTTGGGTACGCTCTCAGCACCCGGCAACTCATGGTGATGCTTCGACCCTGGCCTTGTCTAATCTCCAAGAAGGCTGGTTCCACCGCAGGAGGATCTGCAGAAGACAGAAAAGGCAAAAATGAGGTATCCAGCTAAATGGAATAAGCTTGGCAATCAGGGATAGTGCATCTCTAAAGTTCTGAGCACAGTTAAAGTACCAGTGTCCATGAGCATAAAGGTGGATATCTACTATAATGGCAAACCTTCATTAACAAAATGAGAACACATCTTGGTGCTGCATTGTGATGATTTATAACAGGGGCAGGCAACTATTTCGGGTGAAGGGCCTCTTACTGAGTTTTGAGAAGCTATTGAGGGCCGCATGACAGGCAGCCAGGGACAGATAATTATTAATTTTCAAAAATTTTTAGAGGCCCCGCGGACTGGATAGAATAGCCTGGCAGGCCACATCTGGCCCGCAGGCTGCATTTTACCCACCCCTGATTTATAGTGTGTCAACTGGATATGCAACGTTTAATTTTGTTGGCACCTGGCAGTGCATGGGTTGTTTTGGGGGCCCACGGTATGAGAGAAGAATTACAAAACTATCCACTGGATGCAATGGGGAATCAGTGTCTTATAGAGTAAGAGAGAGCAACAACAGGTAGGAGACCCTGGAAAAGAGAGGAGAGAGAGAAAAACGGTGCATTTGGATGGAGTTGGACTGCATGAAGTGGCTGTTACCCTGCCTGAAATTGGTAGTCTATAGACATGATTCTCCAGGTGGGGTACAGTTGTTGTGGGGGAAGTGAGACAATAGGGGTACGGTTTCTCTTTAGGGGCTGCCTCCAGACTTCACTGATTGGGCAACGTTACCCACATCTTAGACTGGACATTAGGAAGAACTTCTTCACAGTTAGTGTGGCCAAGGTCTGGAATGGGCTCCCAAGGGAGGTGGTGCTCTCCCCTACCCTGGGGGTCTTCAAGAGGAGGTTGGATAGGCATCTAGCTGGGGTCATCTAGAAGGCATCTAGCTGGGGTCATCTAGACCCAGTACTCTTTCCTGCCTACGCAGGGGGTCAGACTTGATGATCTATTGAGGTCCCTTCCGACCCTAACGTCTATGAATCTATGAATCTTGCCCGTCCCTGTTTGTGTGGTTTAGTACTGCAGTCAATGGGCACCTGCGACCTTTCCATAAACTGATCAGAAATGTGATTTTAAACTGCTGAGATTTGCAAAATTAGTATTTTGCCACACTTCAGATCCTAATGGAATAAAACTAAACCAAACCAAGCTCATAATGTGTAAAAGCTGAGGCACTTCAGTTTTCCACCTTTCTTTTCATAGAAACATAGAAAATGAGGGTTGGAAGGGACCTCAGGAGGTCATATCTAGTCCAAACCCCTGCTCAAACTAGGACCAGCCCCAACTAGATGAATTCAGCCAAGGCTTTGTTGAGCCAGGTCTTAAACCCCGCCAAGGATGGAGCATCCATGATCTCTTCCTGCCAGTGATAACGTTTTTTTTTTTCCCCCCAATATCCAACCTAAACTGCCCTTGCTGCAACTTGAGCCCATTGCTCCTTTTTCTGTCATCTGCCACCACCTTTTACCATGTTACTAACTGAAAAGCAGAAACTAAAATCTAGAGCTTGGTAAGCAGGGCTAGGACACACAGTTCAGAAAAAACAGGAGTGAGAAGGGAAGGCCTCCCCTTAGACTTGAACTAGGGCTGCCAGTTAATTGCAGTTAATGTACACTGTTAATGCAAAAACAGATTGATGCATTAATTTTTTTAATGAGCATTAAATAGTACAAATCGTGCTGCCCGTCGTCCTATCCCTGTGGTCCTGATGGGGATCCAAGCACACAGCCCAGACTCTGGTCCACCCTGGACTCAGCCTGGCAGAGCAGACCAGCTTTGGACCAGCCAAAACCTGCGCGCACAGCCCCAACCCTGGCCTGCCCCGGACTCATCCACCCACACTGAGCAGTGGCAGTGGCGGCAGTGGCCGGGCATGGAGGAAAAGCAGTCCCTCCTCCTCACCGCTGCTGCAGCCCGCACCCAGGCTACCCTGTGGCTCCACTCCATCGTCATCACTTCTGTCTCTGGGCCGCCCAGCAGGGCAGGGGTGGCCGTGCAGAAGAGATGCCGGGCAGCCTGGGTGTGGGCTCCAGCCAAAAGGGCCTGGCAGCAGCGAAGGAGAGGGGCCGCTTTTCCCCCATGCTAAGCAAGCTTCTGCCCAGTTGCTGCCATTGCTGCTCAGCATGGGCAGGTGTTCAGTTTGGAGCAGGCGTGGGGTGAGCTGGGGTTGGAGATGTTCGCACAGGATCTGGCTGGTTGGCGCAAGGCCAGAGCGGGCATAGGGCAGGCCAAGGTCAGGGCTGGGGCTGTGCACTGTTGGTGGTGGCCAGGGAGAAGCTGCAGGATGTACAGGCTCTGGGCTGCTGGGTGGGTGGAGGGGTGCTGACTACTGGTTAACGGTGCGATCAAAACTGTGACTAATTGCAATTTTTTTTTAAACCTTGCAATGAATTGCGATTATTTTTTTTAATTATTTGTCAGCCCTAACTCAAATATACACTCCCTTTAGAACTAGAAAGTTTCTTCCAGAAACCAATGAGAAGTCTACACATCCCTATAAAAAGGGCTGCCTAAAAGGTCTTGTGTTGAGACTCATCCCTAGGGCACAATGATTACTTATCGGAGGAAATGGAGTTCACTCATTCTGCACTTGCCACGTCTTCCCATGGAGAACTTGCCCTTATGAGAAGTCTTCCTTCATTGTGATGGGTATTAATGGGGGTAAACTTTCATTACAGAAAACACTTGTGAAAAGTGAAGGCCTTCATCCTTATATTTGAAAAAGAATAGTAGGGACATTTTGAATGAGCAGGAAATCTATGGCATGCAGGAAGCGGCTTGCATGCCTCGAGCAAATTGCATCCTCTGTAAAATCAGGTGCACTTAAAATGATGGAATAAAATGCAAACCCTCTAAAAACAAACAAGCGGATGAACAATGAATGGGCTGTAAAACACTATCGGAGAAGGAATGACTGGTAAACACAAGACTCTGAATGTTTCTAAGGACTGTAGGACTGCTTGAAATTCCTCCAGGTAGGATTTATTTGTGCAGATCATTTGATCTTAATAAGCAAAGATGATGTCATGATAATGATAGTGGTTTTCTGGAGAGTGGAAACCAGAATATTTGTCCCCGTATTTTAGCTTTGGCTTTCGCCCCAACGATGAGGACACAAGGGACCTGAACAATGGGAACAAGTCAGACACAGGCGGTTCTAGCCTGAACTGACTTGAAACAAGACACTTAGATCCAAACCATAAGGTTTCAGCTCCGGCTGAACTGATTTGAAACAAAGCATCAAATGCACAAATAAAAAATAGTTTGATATTCCTACAGACAACTTTATTTCTGCGGAAATTGCCTTTTCCACTGAAAAAAAATCATTTGGACAGAAAATCCCCAGCCAGCTCTGCCAAAGAATAGCCTTTACTGAGTGTGTATTATTCCTGTTAAAAATATAACTCTCTCTCAACACTGTATGTCCAAAAACATCTTGCTCTTAGATTCCTCACTGATTACAAGTTATTTAGAGATCGGAAATACTGCTGTCTTCAGGCTGTTGGCATGCTGTGCTGTAAACCGCAAATGCATTCCCTTACCTCCTTTATAATAGGAACTGGACCTGACCCCAGTATGGCTGCCAATCATCTCCTGGTTAATGAGGACACTTAGCCAAACATTGTAAATTTTAATGAAACTAAACCTGGGAGACGAGCATTTTTAGGCAGTCGTTTCTGTTGGTGATGCTTAGCTATAGATTTTGTTCTGTTGCAACAAGCAGCAAAGTCAACGTTCCTCCATGCCTTTAAATGTCTCCAATGTCATAAGGAAGGACGGGGAAAGGATCACTTGCCATGAAGGAAAACACATGGGCAGAGATGGCCATTACATGCAGAAAGATGCTGTTCACAGATGTTAACTCAGAGATTGAACATCACGGTCCCAAGGTTTTCTACTCCTGCTGCCTGTGTGACCTGTCCACCACTGTCTCTTGTGGTTCTTCATTCCCTACTACCTTTGAGACATCCGTAGGAGTTGGGGATGGAGTTAGTCTTTTATTGACAAACCAAAGGTTACCTGACTCACCTGGTTCATCTGACTTCCCTGGAGCTAGGCAGATTGAAACAAGCTAAGGATGTGGCCTATTGCAACAAGCAGAAAGAGCCCTAAATCTGATCTAGTTTCTAGCTTGTACCTGCTATACTTTTTTCCTAATATAATGCACTAATAAGGACTAAAGGAGTAAGCAACAGATTGAAGAAGTAACTAAAGATACAGAGCAGAAACTATAGCTATAACCTTTGCCTCGCAAGGTCATGCTTGGTACAAGGGTTTACCACCATCTCTGATGCTACACTTAAAAGATCTATCTCCATACACGGGTGGAGAAAAGAAAGACGTCTCTTGTAGGCTTCCAAAGCACCTGTTTGTGTTACTGAAAAATAAGTCCAGGACCTGTGCATTCAAGTCTGAAAGGCTGGGACTTCATCCTCACATGGCCCATGTCTGGGCACCGGAACAAGCTCCAGCCATGCTCTACATCACCCTAACCCTATGGAAGCCCCTCCGTGGCCATGCCAAAATGCTGAGCAGGGAAGAAGGGATGGCTGGATCGCCACTAGATGATAACAACCCTCCACTCCCCATCACAGCCTACAATTTGCATTTGTTCCTCCCTGTATGGGTTGAAAACCTCCCCTCCAAGAGAAGAAGCACTTAATACTCCAAGCTGGCTCCAAAATGATTGTGTTCATGGAAAGCAGCAAATTGAAGGGACAGGAAGTGTAACTGAAGTCTGGGTTGGCTATGGAGAATCCTCCCAAGAGTAGCCTGGGTGGCCAAGGGAGGTGAGGAATGGGTGGCCATTCACCTCTTGTCCCACCTCAGGGTAGGAGGTGAATTTCCTCCATTTTTCCAAGAGAATGAAGAAAGGAGATCACAGGTTAATATTGAGTGCTCTCCATTCTTCCCCCAACGTAATACCTATATTGGGACATCTGGAGGATATTTGACCTTGTAAGATCA